AATTTCAAATTTGGTACGAATGAATATTTTTAATTAAAAAAATAGTGGGACACAAAGAAAGCTTCGTTTCATATTCTGTTTATCGGAAGCACCATAGTTTCATTTGATATCTACGGACCTAATTTATTTTACCACTCATATTCAAAGCAAACAATTTCAAAGGGAATAAATAAAACTGCGCGGAACGTTCGTTTGAAATAGTGTAGTTTTGCAATGGTCCAAAGAGAATTCAAAATAGGTATACATTTTTTCGTCGATTTTCAAAAATGTTTTGTTACAATATTCTCTTGATAAACGCTACTAAATTTGGATCTCATTTCCCTGATATTCATCACCTACGTATGATGTATTAATAATATGTAAATACTTACACTCATAATACACTTTTAATATGTAGACCTTTTCATTTCCATTTTTTGTGTTATAAAATGCCGTACATGTTCTTATCGAGAGAAATTCCTTTCGTGATATTTACCGCTGAAAGAATTCGAGAGTAATACCATGCAATAATTCGTAACATCTAGTATATTATTAATTCGAGTAAGGTATCAGGTAGGTACTGCTAAACATGCTGCTCCGTTCGGAAGGTTCGTGATATATTTACAGCGTTGTTTAAAGTTTAAACAACTTACGAATTTTATAGCGAGTGCTTTCAGAAAGATTACATTCACTTTTTCCTCGTTCGTACTTCTCCAAAATTGGACCATAGCCTTTAATAATCAATTTGAACTGAAGTAATTTTTAGCTTGTCGATAAGCAACCGAAGCTTTTAACGTTGGACGAAAAATTGGATAAACGATACCTCCTGGTGTAGGTACAGTTGTATTAAAAAAAGGGTACAAGTAATAGAAAAAGACATTAACGTCATCTTATTTGTGTAAAACCGGCAGGGATTATTGAAGCTTATCAAATGTCAAAAGTTGTCAAAAATGTAAATAATTTAGGTATCATTGGTCATTATTTCGTTTAATTGACTCCCAGCGCCAATGATTTCCATTTTTTTCAACATATGACATTTGATAAGCTAAAATAATTCTAGCCGGTTTTACGCAAATAGGATGACGTTAATGTCTCTTTCTATTACTTGTACCTTTTTTTTTAATACAACTGTACCTAGGTATTTTTGTTACATCATTTTTTACTATTGTAATTTTTTTGTTTGTAATAATAATTTGGCCCAATTTTGAGTTATGCTTTGTACCCTTATAACACTTGATTTCACTTTATTTGCATTAATGCATACTTTATTTTATTCCAATTTGACTGTTAATTATTAATATTAATTAAAAACGTTTCACCTCTATCACATGCCATTGTTGTTACAAGGCCAATTGTAATTTCATTAATTGGCACTCTCCCTCCGGCTACAGAAAACTGTACCTATACCTATAATATTGTTATTTTATCGAGAACATACTATTCCATTCCCTGTTTCTACTAAAATAGAATAACAATAATTTAATTTGTATAAAACACGTTTTTTTAATTGCAATAGTTAATTAAAATGATGTTAGAATTAATGTTGGGTAGGATTTAATTAGACGAACAGCGCGCAATTAAAATTGTTCCGGCGAACATGCATCATAAAGTTGAAGATTATGAATTTTTTTTCACGATTGTGACCCGATTTTTTCTCTTTCTGTCCCATTTTATCTTCGTCTCGAATGTCGAGATAATATCAGACGAGATTTTGTGCGGCATCCCTACAGCGAATTCCTGAAATATGCCTCGAGGGTTTCTCTGTACCTGCATTTTCTACTGTAAACACACCTAGAAAACCTACATGTTCCTTAAGACCCTTTAAGGCTCTTGAAGGCGAATGAGAGCGACCATGATGTTGATAGGTCCACGGAATATTTTCCGTTCGGAAATTATGTAAATTTTTAGATGTACCATTTTAAACTTTGAATTAAATTATGTGATTTCTCGTCGAGCTTCTCGTCCAAAACATCGACTTCTTCAAACTTTAATGAAGAGATTTGAATATTTCGAGTTTCCATAAGTACGTCGTATATTCCATTAAATACGGGATATTCTCGGAAGATTTGTTAGGAATTATCCGGGTTTCTCGCTATCGAGGTAAAAAAAGATTTTCAGGATATTTTTCTCGTTACCTCACTATTAGGAATATATAGTATTTCCCGATTTATCAGGTGCACTGAGCGAAATTTAAGTCGGATGATAGCGTACAACTCGGAAGCTCTTGAAAGGATCAAGCTCCCTCTAAAAAAATAAATAAAATGTTTTAAACAAACCTATTTTATTCGAAATGCAAATACTTATTCAATGTTTTCATTTTTTTTAAATCTCAGATAAACAAAAACGTCGGCACTTGACGTTGCATTCGACTTATCTTAATATACCTATCGAAAAGAATACGCTTCCATTACTTTTCATAAATATCCTAACTCGATAGGCGTAAACGGTTTTGAAATTGAATTTATATCCACCTACCAATTCGGCATTGGGAAACTCGATGACCTGGAAAATTTCGCAATATTTGAGAGCAGCTAGTGCGTCAAATTGTCGTTTGTTTTTCGTTATTTCGTTCGCTGTATCAACTCTAATATTTTTTCAGTAGGCAAAAAAAACTAAAAAATGTGGAATAGGCAAAAAGTTCGAGTTTGCAGCGTTGTATAATAACGTAGAGCATTTTACAAGCCCCTTGTTAGTAGAACTTGTATACTGTTTCTAAAAGCAAGTCGAGCAATAATATCGAAAATATGACACACAATTAGCCATAAAATAGTAGCAAGGATTCCACTTTCTTGGAAGGAATTCCTTCCTTCCTGAAAAGGCGTATTACACGGTTAATTCCTTTTGGATCCTTCCTTAGCTAGAGCAATACAGATCTATTACAAGATAGTAAGTAGACTGCATATTTTTGCGTGTTTTTTATTTCAATAGCGATAAAATTAAGTATTCAAAGTCCTTGTTGCGCTCTTATTTTGATAGGAAACCGCAAATTTTTCTCTTTATAGCGAATGTTTGAAATCCAAGAAAAATTGTTGGCTTCAATTTATGCCCGGCACACACTACAAAAAATTGTACAGAATATTACGTTGGCAATTTTGTTACCTACGTAATATTATGTAATTTTTAAATACGGTATATATACTGTAAAAAATTCTCTTAATATATTCTGGATACACAATTTATACGGTTAAATTACAGAATATATAATGTAATGCATTACATTTTTATGTAAAGTCTCGAATTCTGGTGTAATTTTACAATGTAATTTCAGTATTACCTGTCTAGTTCTGTAATTTTACAGTCTTACATGATAGGCTATGTATTATAGTTATTTACATAATTTATTTAGTAAAACATACATAATAAATTAAGGAAAATTACAGAATTTTTTTTCAGTGCATCGCATCGGATCTTAATTAAAGGGCTGAAGCGAGTTTGCCGGCTTTCCTTGTTTTATATAGAAAAAGTGGATCCTAAAAAATTAACTTCGATAAAGAGATAATTAGGCAATTTAAATTCCCTTGATTGCGAAGAGATTATTTTAATTTTCGGGAAAAAATCGAGAAATTTGCATTTTTCTTAAGGAGGTTGAAACATCAATTTTTTTCGTGGTAAGCTTTTGTTTTAATTACATTTTCTTTATTTGAAGAAAATAATATTTAATTTTCATTACATTTCACCTTTAATTAATTAAAGGAAAAAAGTCCTGAAATTCTGATAATGTCGTTAATTTGGAGTAGGTAGCTATAAATGTTCTGTACGCAGTGTTTCTGATTTTTAATTCTGTATCAAATAATGTTTACGATTTTATTACTTCATATGGGCGAATTTTACGGGAAAGCGGATTCCTTGTTTCAAGCCGTTTTATTAAAAATTCCTCTATACCGAACAAGAATGTCTATTTAATTAAATCTTCAAAAATTTAAGACAAAAGGGAGTAAATACGAACAATTTAATAATTTCTTTCGTTCAAATTCATTCCTTTCTTTTATTGACATCTATTAGAATCCATATATTTTGTATATGCAGAACAATGTTCTTACACGTGATAAGAATTTTTTTGTAAGATAATTAGCTAAACATTAATTTATAGTACATCCAAATTGATTGCAGGAATCCTTTTGGAGAAAAAATGCCACTATTCATTAACTTGGCTGCCTTTTTTCATACTCTAAAAATAGGCAGCAGTTCCTTTTCAATTGCAAATGAAAGCTCGTTTCTCCGAAACCACAAGCTTCCTTTTCGATAAAAAAAAATGTTCTCAAAAGTTCAACTCCACGAAATAATTAAACAACTAACCAACGGAGAGGACTATTTTTTATACAGGTACAAATATTTAAACAGAAAGAAGGTATAACAAGAAGCAAATACATTTCTGTTGGAAGACAGCAATTATTTTAAAGAGATTCGTAATGAGAATGGAAAAAACTGAAAAATTCTTTGTAATGTAGCCAATTACAATTCATAGAAATGAAACTTGTACTTATCTCAATACCTTACTAATTGATGCAAGCCGAAATTAATTTGCCTCGCTTCTGCAAGTTTCTAAAGTTGAATTTACTGAAACTGGCTTTGGAAAGCAATTTGGATTAAATTATCTCAAATAACATGTTGATTTCCTTTTATACCTCTTTTATATTAATAATGACAAAAATTGGATAAACCTGTCCTATAAAAAATTAGAAACAATATGTAGAACATCTAGACGAGAACAAAATACTGATTGTAATTTTTAATAAAAAAGATAAAAATATAAAATAATAAAAAAGACGTACTTTCAATTCAATGACATTTTAAAAAATACCTGTACATTTATGAAATTAGCGTGGAAATATTGCGAAAGCGAACTAACGTTAAAAAGTGTTTTAATTGCAATTCCAACCGAATATGTAACATATTTTATTAAGGACCTTCCTAATCTAATTGAAAACATCCGATTCGGCAAAGATCGGTCGTCATCGCATCCAGCATCCTCGTCATCCTGGACCATCCGCCAGTTTCACGTCGTCCTTTACAGAGTGAGGGCGAGAGTTGTTTCCGCAAAAAACGCGCTGAAATTCGCGATCCTTCGAATTTTGTAAAAACCCAAACAACGAAAACCACTGTTTACAGTGTTATGGAAACGTTTCTTATTATAGGAATGTGTGTTGTATGTTACGAGCTTTGTGTGTTACTTAATCAGTGTTATCCTAATAAGGGAAAAGAGGAGATAAGTGATGACAAGAAACAAAATGTGTTTACCGTTTCCAACGGTGATGTCATCGTTGACCAGTGAGATTGATCATTTTTCAGTGGATACCAAAGTGATTAAATCGATGTTAAATTTGCATTTTAATGACGACCAATCGATGAGGCTGCATTTGTAATTTTTTTCTGAATACACCAACAATGTACGGGTCCAAAATTGATGGAACATAATTTTTTACCAGAAAACAAATTGTTAAAATGCGCTTGACCTACTGGAATTTGTTTAGTTCTAAATTAATATTTTATATGCTATAATTGTAATTTTACTAATTAAATATCCATGTGAAATTTATTCTATTTAGTAGGTATACCTACTTTCTATTGCTCATATTATAAAATAATGCTAATCACTTACATCAAACTAAAATAACATAAAATAATTATCATTTCATTGATATGGAACTGCTGGACAAGTATTATTTTAATCTTGTATAATTTGGTATATTTTATAGACTTTATATTATTATATTATGTTGGATTTGAGTTGCATACGAAAATAATGCAAATTAGTAAAAGATAAATTGGAAGCTAGCTATCTAACTTTTGAATTTGTGGGAAATACCTTATGGGAAAGCAGGAGTTAATGGAATATGTAAATTAATATTGACATAATTTATATACATAATATAGTAACTTTACCGGTTCATAATCAAATTGCGTATTATGATTAATAGAATATTAATTGAAAATCAATTTTCTATAATTTACATTTTAAAATTTCTTAATTTTAGTTGTAGTATTTAGTTGTTAGGTATATATGCTTTTGTTATAAAGTAAATGATTAATTTCATTTTTTTATATCAAATTGTTCAATATTTATTTTTTGTGAATTCATAATTTATTGGAGCAAAACTTTATTGGAATCATTGGAAGTAAATTGATTTGTATGACTTATAAAATGTAAAGAATAAATTTGTCTCTATTTCTAGCTTTTTTATTTTCCTTCTATTCTTCTTCCATTGCCATATCAAAAAATTAATTGTTACTATCAAAAAGAAGATAGCTTACTTATATTGTCATAAACATTACAATAATAATAACATGACTATCAATATTGTTAGATGCTGTTAAACTATGTATGCTGTGTCACGCATTAGGATTTATTGATTTTTGAATCAGTGCGTTAATTTATCTGCAGTAACTTTACTACAAAGTATAACTGATTATATTAACCAATTATTTTATTTCATGTTTGTGATAAGCATAGCTTTATAATAAGCAAACTTTAATATAAGGTACATTGATAATAGTGCCAACGAATTTTATAATGTTATAAACAAACATCTCTTGAATGTTGAAGTAGTATTTCAAAATTCTACAAATGCAGCCATATCGTATACAGTAAGGTACAATTAAATATAACGATATATAAAAATATTATTCCTTTGAAAACTTTTTTCTGAATATTGGCTAAGCGAATCCACCAAAATTAAAAAAAAAATATATTTTTTCATCATTTTTTCCTCCATGGATGAAATACTATTAATATTTTGCTACGGGTTAATCGATTTTATTTTCAGGAAACTCTAAAATCTCTATCGTATTTCTTGTTCCTCATAAGACCCAGCTTCGTTTAGCATCCGCCATATTTTTAAATGACTCGCCTATAATAATGGCGTTTAAAATAATATCATCCGGCAGAATTTTAAATTAGGTTTCCTTGTCAGTTTTTCTAAATTTATTCTACCTATATTAGTCACCCAAGAAATAACAGTTGATTAACATTGCAATTAAAATTCAGGTTTAAAATTTAATAAGAATGATGAAAGTACGGTAATTGCCCGGTGCCTGTTATTTAACAATCCCGAATAGTTTGTTTAGAAAATTCCACAATTAAATAGACGTGTCATTTCGTGTCAAAATGATTTTAATTCAATGTTTTACGTATAAAAGTAATTTTAGTTAATGAGATTTTCGTACAATGATAACTTCATAATTTTCCCAGCAACGCCGAAGTTAATGTCTGTTCTAGACTTTCATTCGCACCATTACGAAAATTAGATGCAGGAAATCTATAATTTTGCTATTTTATGCACACGTTACGTACCAGTGCAACTGTAGTTCATACAGATATTATACAATCATTTCGGATTAACTCGATAAGGCTGTGATAACGCTTATCGCTCCCCACTTTCCGTACATCCAGCTATTTTACCTATATTTTACTAACCCAGTACGAGAACTAACTGTATTGATGCTTTATGTAACTTTCGCAAAGATAGGCTTTAATTCGCCGATTGAGCTTTAGTCACTTTTGGGTTCGTGTAATTGGAATTGTTGTCGAAAACTTAAGATTTTAGTTTACGATTCGTATTAGGTATTTACTGAATCTATTGATGAAGTTTCTAAATATGCATACTTGTGGCGATCGAAACGACAAGTTTCGCAATGAAACTAGAAGTTATTTTACAAAATAGGGTGGATAATAATTACACCTACGGTAAGCAGTAATATTGATTGAATTTATAATTCCATGTTCTATTTTGCCAATATAGGTAGGTATTTGAATTTGCAGGTGTATTAAATTTCGCAGTAATACTATTCCGAAAATGTTTCATACCTAAAATTAAATTCAAAATGCCTTTAATAATAAATTGCGTTGTTTTAGTGTGAAGAGTATAGGCATCTATATCCTTTAAATATAAAGGAATTATTGGCACGAAGCACAAATATTTAGGTACTGTATGATCCATCCACAAGATTATTTAATACACCTACATGAGGCTCGATGTTGCGGATTAATTTTGTATTTGTATAGATACGCTGAACAAATACGCAAATGTAATACATATAGGCATTCAATTTGCAATTCAATAATAACACCAGGTTGTTTATTTACCTATACAGATAACTAATGAAAGTATGAAGTGTTATGTAGGAAATGGTATTAAAGGAATATATGCAGAAATTTCGAAATAACAGCATGTTGGTGTGATTGGTTTCGGATCCATTTAACATTTATGGTCATCAAACAATAATGTACGTACGCTTAGAATAGGCAACGCACGTTAACAATGTATAGGCTATAGAGCTTGCGTTTTATTGCATATTCGATACAGTGCAATGTAGCGCATCATAGCCGTTTTGTATTTACTGTACCTATCTAACACCGTCAGAAGAATGAACTCGAAATATGAAGTTAGCATTGAAACGGTTTATTTTTGGCTCCGATGTTGTGAAACTAAATGTATAAAGTACTACGTGAAGCTTAACAATGATTATGTCCGATATTGTTGCTTTACCTATCTAGAAATGAACTTCGTGAACAATTCCACTGTTCTTACACCTGAAACATTTAGGTAGTTAGTTACAAGTTACAATTTCATCGGAAACTTGATAACTTAACGCAATGCTAATAAATCATCTTACCATCTTGTAATTTAAACTATTAATCTTTTCAATTGGACCTTTTCGATGTAGTTTAAACTTGCTAACACGACAGCGAAGATTTTTTTCTATGATTGATTGCATTCAAGAAGTTTTAAAAAGTTCTGTGTCAACTCGCCCCCGAGGGAAATCATCTCGTACAAGAAAAAAAATAAGGAAAATCAAAATAAATAAAAAAAGAACCGAGGATTAAATGGGAGCTATCAGAGAAAGAAAGGAACACGTCTCTAGAATATTTTTTTCGCGGATTTTCATCCGACGACGCTTTTCTTTAACCATTTAGTAAAAGAAATGGCCTCTTTGATATATAATATTTGCTCAAATACGTGATGCAATTGGTAGGAATAACTGTGCACTGGGAAACTGCCGCTCTTATTAAAGCTATTAATATTTTCGGTATTGATGTGGACCAATTAAATTTATTATTGAATTAGAAATCATAATTTTTATTTCTGATTGTAAAATATTTGTGTGGAATTATTTCCAGCAACTTATCAAAAATTTTATCACAGGTTTTCCACAAACCGTGAGGAAAACATGATTAATCCAATTTGGTAGATTCAACTATTCGTTACCTATAAGTAACTAATTAATTAACGCGTTAAAGAACTTATGAAATAACAATATAACAATTCCCGAACAATGACAAAGTGCTCGTTAGATCGGCCGCGTTTATAATGTGCGACCTTTTAGCGATAGTGTGGTAACCGGTAATTCTGAAACTGAGTAGCGATGGATTCGTTGGAACGTTTGATGAACGCCACCGCGAAACGTGGAGTTCGGTTGCATTCCGGCGCGTTGACGCCGTCGAACGTAGGTAGTTTAGTGCATCCGGGAACTGTCGCCATATCCGGCGCCGGATCGACGTTGCCCCGAAGGGCATTGGTGCACGCCAGTTTGGCAACAACCGCTGCCATAAGTCGTCGAGGGCGACACCTAACTGGGACGTTCTGCCTGACGGGCGATACCATGGAGGGCATCATACAGTGTCTCGTTTTCCTTAAAGCTTTTTCGGTAAGTTGTCGTCATTCGAACGAGTCTCATTCGAGACATTGAATGAAGTCTACGAACTATTTCTACTGTCCTTTGAATGCGTTATGAATTGTGAAATTTCGCGCAGTTTAATGTATATTTCCATCATGATCTTTTGTCAAGACACATTCACTATGTAACATCCGCTATACGGGATCATACAAAAGTTAAACATGTACCTACAGATAATAGTAGTTTCCTTTGTATCGGCGATGCAGACAGTAACATTCGGGAGAATAAAAGATTTTCTACTGCATCGGCGTGTATTTCAATGGATTTGTATTAGTGCTTGCTCAGTGTGAGTCTCTTTCCCGAACAGTTTCTCTCTAGGTACATATGATGCACGTTAACGCAGATATGTCAAAGCCCGCCGCGAATGTTGAATTAAAAACGCTGTTCAAGCTGTCTATTATTTATAGAATGTGCTGAATTCTTTTATGTATTGGAAGAAATATTCACAATGCTTTTATATACATCCTTCCTGAATTTATTGAAGCTTTAAATTGGATATGCGTACGCACATAATCCGCGCAGTAGGTACTGGGTTCATTATATTCTTATGATATCTTTTACAGTTAATACCGCCTTTACTCTCCTTGTGGAATCGTTCATAATATCAGAGATATAGATTGTGACAGGAATAAAAGTCTAGGGAAAAACGAGACGCGGTATTAGTTGGAATTAAATTTCACCGAAGAGGGATGCAACGTCAAAGGAAAAGCTGTTTAATTACAACGAGAAGATGCCTTTTTTAATTCGACGCTTTCTAAAAATGAAATCGAATCTAGTATGCAATCGAAACGGAGCAAATTGAGCATTTTTAACAGTCTAGAGATATAGTTATGATTCAGTTATGCAAATAGGTGTGTGCTAAATTACATTTTGAATAATTAAAGGCATTTAATTGATTCATATACGAATCAATCTTAGGTTAAATGTATATAGTCTAAATTACAAATTGTGTAAATAACTAGAGTAAATATTACCCTGTTTAATTGTGTAATTGTAAATTGATATCTTATTTATTACGCAAAACCCGGCATTTATGAGAAGCGAAAATATATATTGAACAAATAGAAATATTTCGAACGCTTCGATTTGTGTTTGGCAAACAGAACAAAATATTGCTAATTGCTAATTGAAATAAAATGAAACGCACTCCCGAAATAGATTTAATTAAAACATTAAATGTACCTTTAACGGTATTTGTGAAACGTTATTTCAAGAGAACGTTAACGTAATTCCCTTTCACTGTTTGACGTGATTATTGGAATGAAAATAATTTCGCTGTTGTCTACGGGATTGAATAAATATTTTCTAATTAAACTTTATGTAATCTTTAAAATTAAAGGTATTTTGAAAATGAAAATTTTGTGTAAATAATAATTACTGGATTTAAATTTATAATAACTCCCCCTCCCCCAAATATTAAAATATAATTATTTAATAATATTAAATAATTGATCTTATATATTTTTTATTATTCTTGTAGTTACTCTTATTCAAATACAACCTAAGCGAAAAAATAATGATCAATAGAAGGGCAAAATCAACATTTGTATCCGAAACGAAGCCTTCAAAAAGTTGAGCCGAGAAGTATGTGGAATAATAGTCTGTTTCCATTGTTCGGCGTTCCAGTTATTTCGTGTTTCCCAGGCGTCTCGGCGCCATCGCCCGTTTTTACTTTTTCGCTTTGTTTGATATGACTGCGTGAATGGAGCAACAGAGCAGCTCGTGACGCATTCGAACACAGAAATCACATTACCACTTACGGGGTGTCGTCAAAATGTTCCCTATATATTTGACGGATTTCGTATTAAAATATATTAGGTAGATAGTGTACACGATCCAGTGATGCAGAGAAGAAAATTGGGTATTTACCTAAAAAAAACTAGCAGGAAGGTATATAGTAATATCAAGAAATGAATTTTCTTGAAAGCCTATTATATTATCTCCGATAGAAAATGAAATTAGGTGCGTGAACTCGAGACGAATTAATGTCACAGAGTATCAATTTCTGAATTCTAAGCGAATCACATAAGGGAAAAGAAGAGGGGAAAATATAATTTATTACGAACCGAATAGAACCAACAAAATCGGCCGAAAAAATTCAATTTTCCCGAGATCAGCGTAGACGGGACGAAACTGAAAATAATACAAGAGGTAACATCAATAATTCAAGGTTTTTTGGGTAACATCCTCCGACAAATATTCAGCCCTACTATAAAATGCTATCAGTTCGCTGGAAATATCGATAGGTATAAAATATTATGACAGAGAATGGGACAAGAGATGTACACAAAGCCATTCCTGTAAAATACTGGTGCCCTGTGGAATATTTGGGTCGAATGCGAGAATTGTAAAAAAACGTTTCAGAACCATTGAGGGAGTATCTTCCAGTTTTAACGACCTTCTTAGATATCGTCGAAGATAATATATCGAATTTTCAGCTTTTGTTAAATGTATCCACATCATTGAGCGCGCAGGATTTTAGGCTGATTTTCGACTTCACCTGAGATGTATTCACTGCAATAATTTCATTCATTTAAATTATGAAATTCGATCTAGAAATTATAATTCAGAAAATACCTATAATCTACCTATACAATGAATTTTAGAAAAAAAATATTTTTTTTACCTTTCTGAATATATCTAGAAATTTTGTTGTCCTTTCGTTTTCCTCTCTTATTTTCCGTATTTCGTTTCAATTGTTCCAGTCTTATATCTCCCGTGAGACTCGACCTGATCATATGCATAAAACAAACGGTATACTTTCGAGTTCTCTGTCGTTCGAATTAACAATCGAACAATAGAATTAAACAATGAGCCGCTCATAGATTAGAGCTTTTGATGAGGCAGACGTAATACAATCAAGCATAAAACGAACAAGATTGGATGGCACACAATGAAGTGAAGCCGATACGGCTATAGTGCTGTTTTTGGAAATTAACGAGTGCATCTGCAGCAAAATTGTTAATACATAATACACAATAATACATACTTAATGAATTCATCATTTTTCGTAAATATGTCTTTGTGGAAATAGGTATAGTTAGGGATTGTGTTTTGTTCTAAAGCTATCTTAATAACCATTGAAAATAAAAGACAACTTTCCGCAACCTTTACTGCGGCAGAAATACGAGACCTGAATATTCAATTTACGATATTCTGTCGTGGAAAGGAATACTTTCTTACAACTCGCGTCCACTGGAGAGTTTCGTCTTAAATGAGAAAATGAAAACGTGGGTCTAAAAAAGAGCGCTCTCTAAACTAAACAATATTACATGAATGAAAACATACAAAAGGTAGGTATTTGCCTTTTTAAAGAAACTCCGTTGTGCAGTCGCGGTTTTAATTTCACGGGAACTTCATTTATCACGGAGAGTTTAATTAACTTCACCTATACTGACAGGATCCGTTTTAATTTCGTTGAGTGCGAGAATGTTTTTCTCGAACAGGTCTTACTTTTCTGATTTTTTATTCAAGTTTTCCAAATATCAGACAAAGCGGAACAAGGATATTTGTTCGTACACCTATATTTTTGTTACGAAAATACCGAAAAAGGGAAGCAAGAAATAATGTAAGTTAACTACAACCTGGTTCGCGCTGTTGTCTGCTTAAAAATAACACATAAACAAACAACTGTTATTATTCAGGCTCGTTGAATTGACAAAAGAACAGCACGCCAGTTAGATAATACTTAGAGGGGGCGACGACGGCAGGATGGAGCGCCATTGTTGTTTCTCTCAAAAAAGGCATTATGAGCCTCCATCAAAATCTCTTATCTAAGGGCTCATTGTTTGCTTTTAATACGCACATCGCTTTGAATAGCTTAAGTCAAGACGTTTCATTGTTTTAGTGCATTAGATTAAAGTTGTTTTATCGTGCATTGAAAATTCCGGGATAATTCCTGTGGATGATAGTTTTGGATTAAATTTACAGTTAATGTGATGTTGAAAAATAGATATACAATTCTTTCTTTATAAATAACTGGATAAATTGAGAAAACTTCTTTATAACTTATAATTTTTGACTTGAGTAAGTGTACGTAGTTAAATTTCCGCAATACCTAAATATAACCCGTCAGATTTGTTTTACTCGTTTTATTTTCTAATACAAGCTTTATATTTTAACGCTTTTTTTCGGCTTGGAAGCGAGTCGAAAAGCTTGTTGAAATCGGAGAGCAGAATAACTGAATTTTCGTTTAAAAAAAATACGGGAAATTTTCAAAGTTCGTCGATAAAGTGAAAACTTTTAATGGTCGGCCTGTGTGATGCGTGAGCGAGAAATAAAAAAAATATTCCCACTCAATCTGAATAACGCCGACATAATTCATTTTGATGTATATGCTGACGATTTCGTTCATTTTTTACCGTTGTTGAAACGGAAGGAACAACTTGAATTATATTTATCGCCTACGAGCATATTGCATTTTCACCTCGCAATCACACTACTCTTCTCCAAAGAAAATTGTGTAGTCAAAAAAAAACTAATCCAGAGTTACGCGCCAGTAAATTGAATCCTTTGTTCATTTTCCACCCTTCCACCGAGCCATATCTTATTCCATCTGCATTCACGGCCTCTTTATTTGGATGCGCATCATCTGGAGAACGTCATTCCGACGAAGTGGCTCTAAATCAAGAGGACAAAAAGACGCAACATTGGCGGGATAGTAATGTTGAAAGTTTTTCATTCCCGGACGGAAACGTGAAAAACGTCACGAGCAGAAGGTCTTAAAGCCGAATGTTCGAGGAGCGCGCTAGGAGATGGGAGCGTGTCGAAGCGCTTGTAAGTGGACGGTAGGATGACGATAAATGTTCGACTTCCGCAAAGGGTGAAGAGGTATGTGATGGTTCTCGTGAAATATACTTCGGTAGATTCCCTTGTTTCGACAATCCACGTCTTATTATTAGCGCCCTGAAGGAGGGTAAATATTTTTCCAAGCTTACCGTTACTTCGCTACATTTTTATTTAGTACTATTTTCTTTATAAACATCCAAACATTATAAATCCCACATGTATTTACTCCACCTACGATGAAATCATTAAATCTCTGAATTTGTGCCGAGTGCAAGCTATCCAGCAAAATTGAACAAAAAAATCTTCATCAGGCAGATTGTACTAACTCTAACATGTCCTCCACCGTGCTCTCAATTTTATTAAACCTGTCGAATTCAATCCACATTCACTGCTAATATTAAATTCCCCTTGTACCTCGTAATGGTTTAACAACTTCTATTTCGAATCGGTTTGCGTTTTAACGAAGTTCGAATCGAAAATACGTGGGACTCGTCGCAAATTTAATAAACGTTTACCGGCAAACTTCAAAGCTTATATACCTATACGTACCTTTTAAGGATACTCCAACTGCGATAATTCATCCTCGATTTAAGAGCGAAGGCAATTAATTTCCTGGTGCAAGTTTCGAATCGGAAAATTAGGAAAGGGACTGTGAATGATTTATAAATGTACCATAAAGTAGTGCATTTTGTTCTAAACTGACCGTTTCCGTAGATAAACAAGCAATTGAACAGCAATTGCGGTGTTTTCTTTATCCCTGCCAATTTACTTCCTTCATACTCTTCTTTCTTTGCAATTAGAGGAAATTCGAGAAATAAATTATTTTTTGCTCTCACGAGCCAACACTAATTTTGTTGTTTATTTTTGTTTCGCTTTTGAAAACCTAATTAAGAGATAGAAACCTCCATCTTGTTTAGATTGAGCTGAGGGGATGCCATCTTTTGTTATACTCAAACTCAAGCAGAGGTACAACAAATTGGATATCAACTGGATCGAATTACGCCAATGTTGTTCTTCTTTAATAACGAATTAAGAGTATAGGTTCATTAAATATTATTCATTCTATTCATAAATAATTTTGCAGATATTTTATTATAAATACCACTGTAAAGAGTAATTTTATTGACGTTTGTTAACGATAACCCTTCGGATAAGGAAATTAGGGTCGCAAAAGAACGTTCTCTCAAGTTTAATTGTGCCAATTATCACCGCAGGCTGAATTTTAAACTCTTTAAATTATCTCTTAACATAATTTAATTTAAAAGTCTAACTATGCCATTCCATTACGCATTCAAATTCGTAATTCGCCCAGCCAGAATCTTTTCAAATTCAATGCTAATTGTTTTGATGGTAACGAGGTTGTCGGATTTTCTCTTTATTTTGTGAATTCGAGGATTTCCCGTTCCAGCTCTATAATTTTGAGTTAAAAGCAAGTGAAATTTATAAGTCGTAACAAGTATCATTTGTAACTTGGGATTTTTCATTAAGCTTCATGTATAATTCGTTGAGGAATGAATTTTTGAAATTATTTATTTACTTGAATACAACCTTCCCTTATAGAGGGAACTCAAAAGGTAACCCTGCAGGAGTTCGTTAAATCGTTCTCATTTTCCTCAAAACAGCTTTAAAAGATTTTCGCTTTATTGTCTGAATAGCGTTCGCTTTTCATCTCTAATTGATTATCCGCGTGCTAAGAGTTATTAGAGGTTAAAAGGACGAGATTTTGCGCGCGGAGAGTGTGCTGATTCTGTCACACTTTTTGCTCTTCGGAACCCTTTTGATGCCCCAGAATAGGCGGCAAATGAATAAATACATAGGAATGGCTTCGAGATATAATCTAACTTGGGGTTTTATTTACGTGTAGGTATTTAGGAATCGATTAATTTAGGTTTTGTCGTTTGGGTCGTTCGAAAAAACCTCCCTCTTTTACGCCATTATTTCTAACGAATTTAAATCCGACAAGGCGTATCCTGTAAGTCTGAAAAGAACATGTCCCAGATGGAATATGTCACTCTATTTCCAGCTAGTCTGACATCGGCAAATGGTATATCCTGTTCTAGTAACCGAACCGAGAGCTGGTAGAAATGGAGCTTATTTCAATTGAGACTGTCGCTCGTTCGAATTTCTCCAAACAGATCTCTCATGTCACTACCGTTAAAAATCTAGGTCGAAGTGCATCTATAATGCAGCGAATACTTCTCAAAATTATAGGACACAAATGGAAACGGCTTTTCGAGTTGTTTGTATGCTGATTTTCAACATTTTTAATAACAAAATATAACGTTTAATAATCCTTCGATATGGATATCTTAATAAGAAGGTTTATTTAATTTTTGTAAATAAGTCATTTTCATATCCCTACGTTATTAAATCTCGCTGAGAGCCTGCCGTGCGAAAGGCGCCTGATCCTGCACTTGTTCCTCAACATAGCCCTATATCCCTGGAAAGGGATGCTCGAAATTAATAAATATCTCGACGCACGCTGTGATATAATTCATTTTCGCGGTGTGTAATGATAAATCAGTAGTGCATGATGGAACATTTCGGAAAATAAATTGCTCGCTTACGATTTTTTTCCCGGCGGACGATATTTCTTAGGATGTAAATAAGAAAACGCCGCCTAAAGTGAAATATGACTAAGAACGAAGTATTTACCATCTCCCTCGAAAGTTTTAATGCGATAATACCTCGAATATGTTTTCAACTTTTCCATTCTTCTACTTATTCCGCTCCGACTGTTCGGTATCTTCTTTCCTCTAAACGACAAGGAATTTCACATTGTGCGTGAAAACGCTCGTTTGAATGCACAGTTAAAAAGGTGCCCGAATTTTCTACTTTAAATTTGGAAAATCTCGCCTATTGACTATGTATAAAATACAAATCATTAAACGCGCTTTCATCCTTTCTATTGCTTTGAAATATCTACCTTAAGAAGTGTGTTACTCAGTATTCATCAATCACTAGAAGCCCAGTGGTGTTTTCCAACTTTTTCACCGCACGTTGACTCAAAACAAGATTGATGAATTCGAGCCTGGACCGTGTTAAGTGGGTAGACGTCGTACTTAAAATTGCGACTAGAATGGGATAAACTTCGCACCTCGCAAATAAATTGCACCTTATTTTCTGTCGTTAAAATTATTGTTAAGATGAAAATTAACCTAATTCTTTTGTTCCCTCGCCATTGACAGCGAACATCCATTAGCCATAGAACGAAAAAAAAAACAATTCCAAATCCTAATTTTATTTTCTCGGAGCGACGCAAACCTGTCGGGTTTTATCAAAAGAAAATAATCCATTTCGTAATTCGTGCGTACACAAAATAGGCGTGAATTTACACCATCAGCGACCCTAGTAATAAATCAGATCTTAAAGGAAAATTAATAAAACGACGAAATTGGAAGCAATAAGTGGGTCCTCGTGCTAAAATGGCGCTCGTGATCTACTGAAACGGATCTTTGTTCTCCAATAGTAACACAATTGAAAATGATATTTCGGCGTCAGGGAGAGTAATATTCGGTCTCTTTGCAGGCTAAAGGAAAGTAATAATCAGCGACTTTGTTTTCTAAATTAGGGTCCATTATTAAAATCTTTAATGATCACGAACATTTCTATTTAGTTATAAGATTTATTTATAGCCTGTAATTAATACATTTAATTGGCTTTAGTCGGTGCACTTTGATTTTTCAACAATGCACTTGGTTTTACAAACATTTCGGTAATAATTTACTGACTTCTTGGGCGTTCTTGTTCTATTTGGTGTGCTAAAATCAACATGATACAACCCGAATCTCTCCCTTAAAAAAACAGTAGCAGTTAGTGTGGTTAGAAATATAAAGTTTTAAATACATACGTATATCCAGCTAGCCATTCAAAATTGTCCATAAAACTCCAAGCAGTGTATCCAAAAACGTTTACTCCATCATCCATGGCATCTCTGAGATTACTCAAATGCGTCTGAAAAGTAAAATTGGATTAAAGAGTAAGAATTAATGTTTGTTTGAAAGTACTTGGTAATAATTAATCCTTCGGTCATCTTCTAAAGTGGTTCCATTTTCTGAATAACCATTCTCAGTGATGATTATGGGAACATTTCCGTACTCATTCTTTAGCCAGATCAAAAGTTTCCTCAATCCCCACGGCGTGACCTGCGAATAAGCGGAGTTTTAGATAATTAAATTCACAGTTAAGTATTCATTTTAAACCTTCAACCACGAAGAAGCGGCTCCCTCCCATTCTGGTTTTTGATATGCGTAGATTTCGGCGTCTGCAGCCCAAGAAATCTCCTTCTTTTCCGTGTCGATTTTATTCCTCACCATGGCAGACGTGTAGAAATTTACGCCCAAAAAATCGACGGTGTTATTGATAAACTCAATTTCTTGTTGAGTAAAAGCTGGCAAACGTGATTTTTCGAAACCCTGCTTCAGACTTCTTTCGGCTATGTTTGACTTCATTTCTTTTGGATAGTCTCCTAGCATTATGGCGTGACCATACCAACCGAACTGGTAAAAGAAAATTCATCTATTATCCTATAGAAATTGCAGTTGCGTTAGATGCCTCAATACTCAGTACGGAACTCAAGCATTAAAAATTCCTCCGTTTTGGATCCCATTGCTATGCAACCAACGTGAATACTTGTCCCTAATTCAATTTGTGGTGTTCGCAGGTGATTTAATAGGCATTGTAAAATTAATTCCCTAATCCCTATCTACGGATTGAAGCCTCAATGAATATGTTGATTTATATTGGGATTAATTTGGCATTCACGTGTTAATTATAGATATTACACTTTTCACAAAAATTTCAGTATATGTATTCTACGCGGTAGCTTACATTAAATTGCTGCCATCTTTCAGCGGCTGCTACATCCTCATCTTTTTTACTGTCAGGTTCGAACCAAGCTGTGTCGATTGTGATTCCCACTTTTCCTAAAACCGTAGAAAAAGCGTAGTAATCAACAAAGCGTAGAAACAAAAAATGACTATACCTTTCTGAGTTTTTCTAAACACCTCGTCGTACAAATGCCAAACTTTGGCGTGCGATTTCAGCACGTTATGCGTACACAAATACTCGCCGATGCCTGGGGCAATGATGAGGGGCGCCTTGCCGCCGCCCCCGTAGCCGCCTTGGCACGTTTGCTTGGGTTCGTTGAAGGTCAGCCAGTATTTGACTTCGTCGCCGAATTCCTCGAAGCACACTCTGGCGTAGTCGGCGAATCTCTCGACGATGAGCTCGTTGGGCCAGCCGCCGATGTCCTGGAGCGGCTGGGGAAGGTCCCAATGGTAGATGGTTACCAACGGTTCGATGCCGTTGCGTTTCAATTCTCTGATGAAGTTTTTGTAGTAGTCGATTCCGAGCTGGTTCTTTACGTTGTCGTAACCTTTACGTATGTCATTTTAAAGAGTTTCCACGCGAATTACACTTGTGTTTTACCTAATGGAAGTATTCTGGACCAAGATATAGAGAAGCGGTATACATCTACGCCCATGTCTTTGAGTAAAGCTATGTCTTCTTTGTATTTGTGGTACGAATCGCAAGCTATGTCTGCTGTAGCATTGTTAGCTATTGGTGAAGGATTTTCGTGACATGTCGTGTCCCAGATATTTACGCCTTTGCCATCCTCATTCCATGCGCCTTTAGGAATTGAAATTTGCTATCAACTAATTTAATAATTGCTTGCTAGATTTTTTACCTTCTATTTGATAAGCAGCCGTGGCAGTTCCGAATAAAAAATCAGATGGAAATCTTTTTGTATTAATTTTCTCACCTGATCTGTAAAAGCCAATAAGTAAAATTATAAGCCCTATATAAAAAAAGTTTTACTCACATTGCAGTTACAATAACCAAGCTCCATAGAAATGTAAGAAACATTTTTTTAATAAATTTTTGATACTTGTTCTCCCAATTTTATTTTTAATTAAGTCCTAGGTATTATTAGATGGTAATATTTATATACATATCTAAATTCGATTAGCATATCTCCTACATAAGATATGATAACAATATAACTTACGATTATAATTAGATAACGGCTGATAATAATTGAATTATTTCGTTAAAATCTTTATGTAGTTGAATCGATAATATAATTAACTGATTGTACTACTCGTAATTGAGTTGCTACTCATATTTTTTCAGTCTAAATTAATATATTTTATTAAATCAGTCACACTAGCCATTGTTGAAATTTAGCCATATAATTGTGGCGTAGCCGCTAACATTTGGGGTGTAATAAATTGTTTGGAGAAACTGTTACGAGGAATAAACGTAGACAATAAGATAGCATTGTAGAGAATAGAAGGACGCTAAATTATCTTGTGAATTGTTACTGTGCGACTACACGAATCCGCTGGATTTGTTAAATTATTTATAAAGTTTTAATAAGGCAACACTTCTATGGATAAGTGAAGGACTTTTCACTAAATTCTCTAGCTGGAAGTTATAAAAGCGGTAAATTTTCCTGAATGATTCGGACGCAATTTGTAAATGTATTAGGTCGGTCCTGGTAAGATATGCTAAGTCAGTGTCAATGCTTCAACTTGATAAATAATTCTATAAATATGTGTAATTATCGTTTATGGAAATTCACAAATTAGATTTATTTTTAACTGCATATCTCGGAAATATACATAATTAAATTTGTACTATTTTAATGCTTATGATTGCATCATTATAATTTCTAAAACCTTCCGATGGCCTGCATTAATTTTAACTAATTAAACTAACAATAACGGGATCATTAGTTTCGTTTGTTTCCATTAAAAGAAATTGCGTTGGCTAATAATATTTCATTAATAGCGAAAATTGTACTAAAATGTTGCAATTATTATGAATCATCTTGAACAGTGGAAGAAAACTGTAAAGCTTTCCTAAACACAAGGTATTTAATATTAAAGATAAAAGAATAGGAAAGAGCTTCGAATAAATTAAAACATTAAATGGGCTGGAAGAAACATTAACACAATTAATGGTTATTGTCGTAGAAGGTTAATGTATATTTTTGTAGAATTAACTGTATATGTAAAATTATGTCAAGTTACATATTATTTTTTTAATAATAATTCTATAGATTCTATAGACACTAAATTATTGATTATAATAACTAGGAAATAATATTTTTTATTTAGATATTTTTATTTAAAAATGACTACTTAATATGAAATAACATAGGTGCATAAATAAATAAATTATTCATAAATATTACTAGTATGTACAATATTAAATTAAAAATTGAATATTCTAATTTGACAACGGCACGGAATTATAAATGTATCGTATGACATTGTCCACCTCTAACTCTTGTGTGCATTGGGTTATATTCACGATGCATTTACTCACAGCGAAATGCTTGAAAAACCTGACGGATTTCTTGGGTATTCTGGTTCTGTTAGGGCTATTGAAATCTACATAATACAATCCAAACCTATCACTAAAATAAGAAAAATTGATAATATACCTTTTATACAATGAAAAGAAATAGTCAACTTACACATATCCCGTTTGCCATTCGAAGTTATCCATTAAACTCCAAGCGGTGTAACCAATGATGTTAATTCCATCATCTAGAGCGTCTCTAACGTGACTTAAGTGATCCTGTAAATATTACGGTGTTATAGTTTGCTCGATATGTTCAAGTAATGATTCTTTACCCGGTAGTAGTTAATTCTGATTTCATCGTCCAAAGTATCGCCTGCATTGGCTACGCCATTTTCGGTGATCCATATCGGAACATCACCGTAAGTTTTCTTCAACCAGCGCATGAGTTTTCCAATGCCCCACGGAGTCACCCTCAGCCAAGATGTGGAATACACCCATTCGTTCTTGTGGTATCGAATTGTTTCTGCATCGGCTTCCCAGGACACCTCCATTCTTTTCGAGTCGTTCTTCTCTTTTACCATGTTGGACGTGTAGAAATTCACGCCGAGGAAATCGGCCGTGCCCTTTATGTATTCGATCTCTTCCTTCGTGAATTCCGGCAGACGGGATCTAGAGAAGCCTTGAATGGCGCTTCTTTCGGCTATGTACTTTTTCATTTGCCAGGGATAGTCTCCGTTTAGAATGGGATTGGCGAACCATCCGAACTGATAATGTGAAAGAAACTTCGTTCGTGAAACCGGCTTTTTTCGCAGTATATAGGACAGTGAATAATTAAACGCATGCTTACCATAAATTGGAGTTGTCGTTCGGAGGCGGCTATGTCGGCTTTGCTGTCACTTGCAGGTTCCATCCAAATAGTATCGATTACTATACCTACGCGTCCTATGCAATTAAAACGAAGCGATTAATATCGGAGCGAAATATAGGAAAATGAAATCCTACCTTTTTGCTTCGGCCTGAATACGTTGTTGTACATGTGCCAAGCTCTGGCGTGCGCTTTAATGACGTTGTGCGTGCACAAATATTCGGCGTGCCCGTGTGATTGCAGGAATGGGGCTTTGATGCCGGCGCCGTAGCCCTCCTGGCACACTTGCTTCGGCTCGTTGATGGTTATCCAATGTTTGACGTCATTCCCGAATAGGGAGAACACCACCTCGGCGTATTCCTGGAATTTTTCGACGACGTATTCGTTGGGCCAACCGCCGGCGTCTTGTAGCGGTTGCGGCAGGTCCCAGTGGTAAATCGTCACCAGCGGTTCTAACCCGTTGTCGCGTATTTCTTTTATTAGATTTTTGTAGTAGTTGACGCCCGCTTCGTTGATATGATTTGCGAATCCTTTTACAATAAATTGTTCATTAATTATCTTGTTTTAATGTTACTTATGTAAAGCTTACCCGTTGGCAAAATTCTGGACCAGGATATCGAAAATCGGTAGTGATCGACGCCAAGATCTTTTGCCAGTTGGACATCTTCTTTATATTTGTGATAAGAATCGCACGCTATATCTGCCGTTGTTTGATCAAAAATTGGCGAAGGGGAACTATGTACAGCTCGATCCCAAATATTTTCTCCTTTACCGTCTTCGTTCCAACCGCCTGAAATTAATTAAAAAACCAATGCAATTAATAAATAAAAAAAAAACTAGTAAACGCATTAGTTGCTTAACGCTCTTAACAGAAAACGATTAATTTATATGTCATTTTAATACCTTCTATTTGATAAGCTGAAGTGGCTACTCCTATCCTGAATTCATCCGGGAATTTTTTTCTGTTTAATTCGTAACCGAGTCTAAAAATACATACTTAACATTACAAAAATCAAGTTGAAATTTAATAATAAACGATAAACTTACATAGGTGAATAAAAAAGTAATCCTACAATTAAATGTCGTTGAAGATGCATTATTATTATCCACGGAAACACTCGCACTCCTAATAACCACACAATTTGTACGTTAATTTTCAAGGAATGAAAAAATAATTATGGATCACAATGATTAATCCACAACTTAAACACTGCGTGTATTAGGTCTAGCAAACTTACCACTTATATTTATACCAAGATTATACAGATTAACGTATTAACTATCAATGTTCTTTCGTAATTTCGAAGTTATAGGCCGACGCACGTTGGTATAAATTAGAACAGAGCTGGTTTCAGGAAAATTTTAGTTCAACGTTTTGTCGGTAAAAATAACCACTATACACTTCACCAGTTTTCAATTAATTATTTCAATTAATTACAAACATTTCAACAAAATATTTCAATTAATTATTTACCTACATATAAATTGTTTAGAGTACAATTAATTTGATCAGTACTATGGCCTCCGTTATTTGATTATTTTCTTAAGTACCGCTGAACTTATTTATCATTGAACGCCTATTTCTTGTATTAACATTATCACGTTGGTAATAATTTTCAACTTATTCCCGGTCAAGAAATTCTCTAATACTTTAATTGTGAATTTAGAAGAATCCTTTGAAGGACTTTTTATGTAGGTGGAGAAGTATTTCCTTTCTCAAAGGAAATTTTCATGGCTTTGTTTGAAACTTAAAAATATTCCAAGGACATAAACTAAAAATAAAATGAATTGTAAAAACGGAAAAATACAAGATTCGTTGCGTTACAAGTGCGTTCTACATGCTTTTTATTTACTTATTATGACTTCTTTTGATAACGTGTCTGCGTAATTCAATTAACTTATTTGTTTTATGAAGTTGTTACATTAGTATGTGACACCGTCATACTTTGCATTGAGAGGTTGTGCTTAATAATATTTTTTTGGATATTTTTAATTTTTTATCATAATTTTAAAGTTACTTAATTTTTACGTAAATTAATTCTTGAGCCTTTTTCCCTCCTTCCTTTCTTCATTTCTTCCTTCCATCATTTTTAATTTTTCTTTATTTCTTTTATTTAACTTTTTATTATTTCGTTCATTATTCATCGTTCATATGCATGAATGTTAAGTAGGTACTTATTTGATTTTAAATATGTACTCGATAGTGATTATAGAATAGTCAATTTGTTTTTAAATAAATTAACATTGCAGAAATCTGAAATTTAAACTTAGTGCAGGATAGGTATTTAAATTCGATGTGCATTAGCTATAGGGATATGGAATATTCATATAAAAATAACATAAATTTGCCTATATCTATTTTTTAAACGCATGATTGGTGTCCGTCATTGAATAATTCATGACTTGATTCGTAATATATTTTTACAAATCTAACAATTTTTTTCATGTACCTACATCCAGTTCAAGGATACCTATAATATTGATATTATTCATAGTAATTCCATGCTTGAATTACTGCACTAGTTGTAAATTTTTAGTGCATGAAGGTAGTTAACATAAAACGATTATTGACTTTTCCCTAAACTTAATTAATTTTCAAATATAAAAGAGAAAGAATTTAGGTACCTACATAAATGCATTGATAGATTTTGTTACTCTCAAAATGTACCATGCATCCGTAGAATTAAATAAATTAATTTGTTTTAATGATGATTATTTTATTTTCTGCGCATCCAAATTTTATCAAAATTTTTTGACTTTCAAAAGCAACTATTTGATAAGTTATACTAAAAAATCAATTTATTAATAGCAATTTGTGAAAATATTATAAATAACATATGACGTAGTTGCGTGGAATATTTCATAAAGTACTCAATTAATTTATAGATTAGCAATGTATCCGCAATTTTTTATCAACACTATAAATATAGTCAATTTCTTTCCAGATATATTATTTCAGTAACTACAATTCCTATTGCTTTATACTTACATTTTTGGTAAATATTTATCGGTATTTGCATATTTGATATGTGCCTATAGCAGGTTCAATATGAATTTTCCATAAGTAATCCGTATTTCATAGATTCCATATTCATATACCTATCTCTATTGATAGAAAATATCAATATCTGTTAGAATCTGTTCTACATATTCGAATACGAGTGAAAATCATCGAGAATATTCACTATTGCAGCGATATTAGCCAAAGTTTTATTACTCTCGGTATGAAAATTTTTGTCGTGCACGGATCGTTACCCTTGCGAGAAGCCATTCGGATGATCGCATAATGAACTCAATGACAAAGAAAAAATGTTGATGGTTCAGAACTGGCGTCGGGCCGTTCGTTTTTAATAATTGCAAGTTTGCATAAATTTGAAATTCAGATTATTTTAAGGGAGACTTGAGAAATAATGAGATATCGTCATATCAATGGTTGGTACATAATTCGATGAGTATGTTTGAAATTTGTGAGATAAATTTCTCTTTTAGAAAGAAAAATGTGATTTAATTTTCCCCATGTGTACGTGTGTTAAATATTCGCTTAGAGGACCGCTAAATTATATTTACATTTTAACATCATCATCGCCGACTTCAAAAAGTTGCGTGTAAAAAAAAGTAGCAAAAAAATCCAGCGCCCGAAGTTATTTTTACTTCGGCGGCTGTACTCAAAGAAATTTAATTTTGAAGGATGGTCAGGTCTGCTTTCTATGCATGGGATCTGTATCCTCAATGTGATATTCATGATATGAAATTCCAATTTTGTTGGAAATTTCGTCAAGGATTTACCCACGCAGTATGGAAAGTAAATTACTGTTCGGTTTTCTGAAGACAGCGGACGAAAAACTGTTTCGACTGTGATTTTCAAACCTATTTACACGTAAATTTCCTTTTTTTATTTTCCTCAGGCTTCACGAAGGAATTTCAAAAGTGCGAGTGTAACCACATCCTTGACTGATAATTCAGCTCCTGTTACCACCTTTTAATGCAAAGAATAGGCCCGACTAGTTCTCTCTTCACGTTGAAAATTTTCAAACTAATACACAATTACATTTCTATTTAAAAAATGTTATGTAACTGAAAATATTTTAATTAAGCAAATTTTCGAAATAGTGGTCTGTGCGGTTTATTCTGCATGGGCAAATTGCTATAAACTGGAGCTTCAGTCGCATTCTTGAGGTGGGCAACTGATGAAATTAATAAAACCTGTTGGTATTTGGGGCACTAAAATGTGATTTTCGAAGTAAAGGAAACCGCGACATTTGCGGAATTCTTTCGAGCACGGCTCCAAAAATCTAATATCAAAGCCCTTTTTTCAAAATTGTACAAATACAAAGTCAAAGTTATTTTACATATTATACGAGGTGTTTCATAAATACATTCAAGGTAATGATTGCAGAACTTCACAAAGATAGGCGTAAAAGTAATTTGCACAGTAGGTGTGCATTCGGCCCATTAATTTAATCATGTAATCCACGGTAATCCATTATATTATTTTCCTGATGAATGTTTGACATAATTCTGAGATGTAATAAATAACATAACAATTACCTAATAAACCAACAAATTGAATATTGGCGAATACTACAGTGAATTAAAATAATGCAACAAATTAGTACGAAAAATATATTTATCTTAATATTATGCCATCGCGATAGTGATAATGGCAAAGTAATTGGTACAATCGAGTTTCAAATAATTTATAAATAAGGTCAATGTTTCAAATAAGTAATCGATAAAAACATGCGCGTAAATCCGTTATCATATTAATACGTAAAACATCTGTAAACTATTTTCATTCTTATTACTAGATAAGTTTGACAAATAAAGAATGTTATGGTAACTCCAAAATGTACAGGGATAAAAATATCGTACGTCATGTAATAAAAATGTATTGGATACACACCTCCTACTTGTTGAAAGTACGATAAGTGACGTTAATGATAAGGGAATTTGTAAATATTCAATTGGGAGATCTTGCATAACTTGTAAAATTATTAAAAATGACTAGATAAGTTTTCTTGTTCATTAGGGAGGGAATCTCCAGAAAACGATAATTTTTGTTCGAATATAATCGAATAAAGTATTATGTTAAGTGTCTAGTATATTAATATATCTTTATAAATATTTCCACTGATTACATTTACTTACCTGGCTTATTATTGAACTAATTAAACAATTCCTACCACTAAACTTGGAAACTACATAAAAGTAATTTAGATTAGGTGCATTTCTAATTTACAGGTGAAGAACTTCTTGTGTTGTTCATTCTAGAATATACTCGTACATACATGGGATTACCAAAATGTTTTTCTTATATGTTGACAAAAATTATCTGGACTTGAATTAACCTCTCATTGAACTTTGTAATCATCCAGACTTTGGAACGGTAGTGGATTCACTATTGATTTATCTATTACCTATATAAATTTACAAACTCGTGTAGACGAACAAATAAATGAGCGACAAATCGTTTGATAATCCAAAAAAATATTCGCTCTAAACTGGGTCAGGTTTCCATGAAATCTTCAAGTACGCCTTTAGAAATACAACCGCATGCTTTTCCCATAAGTACGCGGATTTAGAGAAATACTCTTTAAAAGATGTAAACCTTCGTATGTCTGTTGCAGAAATTGCACTGTTAACATAATTTAATAAGGAATTCTTTGGGCCTCAAAGCCTGCCCATTATGTTATTCGCTTACTATTCCTCCATCTCCATAAACGCATATACAAGCACTGAAATGCTTTCGTTTATGAAAATGGCATTTCTTGCACTTGATTTAATTAATTAAAAATTTGAAATTAATTAACGACATTTTTTAAATGTAAACATACAAATAAAATGCCTTTTATTTCCCTTACAAGTTGAAGTACTTCTCAAAATGTAAAAGTCAGTAAGTGGTATTAAATTAATAGTTCTTTTATCGCACGCCAATGGTAACGTTTACTTTCGTCCTAATGAAATGCCGTGGATGAAAAATCCGCACTTACGGAATTAATTTATACCCTGAACGGGCTCTTTCACCCTTTTAAGGGGAGACATCATTTATAATTTTAAGCAGCCCGTCATATCGTGTTACATAATAAGGAGTTTTTAAGGTTATTTGTGCGCCATCATAAATGTCGACTGGAGGAAGTTTATTGCCAACCGACGCGGCGCCCGAATGCCGTCATTACCCACTACTTGATCATTGTCGTTCAATTGCTATGATAATACCTATCTACGCCCTTTTCTTGCTACGCAGAACGGCGGAAAATCTCCGCCGCAAATGGTCGATTTGCAAAATTTGCTTTCGAATATGAAGTTTCACTTGAACCCGTTTTCTAAATATCGTTTTGACAATCACGTTTCTGTATTTAGATACAACGATCGATATTCCGTGGCGCTAAATTAAATATCTTTTTTTTATAAAGCCATTTAAGTAATAAATTGGATTTTGCTCGTAACAAGGATTATGTTTTATCGAAATTGGATAAGGTCTATCCTGTTTCAGCATCTCTGCGGATAGACGGGAATACCTTTGGTTTATTACTTATATACAGTGTGTCTGTAAAGTCTCGGAACATGCGATTAAAAACCGCCGAAACAGGTCAACTTTATTATTTTTCCAGCTATTTTTTAGCCTATTTAGTTATTCCAAATTACGATTATTAGTCATTTCATTCATTATTTGCCAACAAGTTCAACTCAAATCGTTTAAAAAACTTACCGTTTTCGAGATAATCGCATGTTCCGGGACTTTACGGACACACTGTATGTAATAAGCTATATACCTGCAATGTGCGGTCAATAATTTCAATCCGTTTTAATGGAATGTTACTTCTATTCTGAATATTTGTCATTATTTATTACGCAACAGTTATTTAATATAATAATATCTATAATGTTCATCTCTCTGTAGTTTTGCATACATTTATATTAATTTATCATGATGAGCGTGTAGTAGCATAATAAATATGTACTTTGTCATGGGTTTGAAGCGTAAACCAACATCAACTGCAATATGTATGAAGCATCAGAATTTCTGCAATTGCCCTAAAAGACTAATTCAAGTCTCGTTTCGATTGTTTGCTAACTAAAAATTAATGGATTCAACTGACTTTAGTAGGTAGTTGCGCTGAGATTTGTGTATCTCTAACTACCTAAACATTCTACTATTTTGACTAAAATAGCATGTCTACCGTGCTTTTCAAGGAAACCGTCCATTAGAACTTACAGGAGTTCCTGAAGAGTTACGAATCTGAAAATTTAGGAGTAAGCGAGTTAATAAATAAAAGGTCGATTATTTCAGAAATTCATTAAGTTCTAATGGGCGGTTTCCTTGAGAAGCACTGTATATACAATTTTTTGTAGTAAGAGTTTTTATGTAAATGTTTCCTTTTTATTTCAGCTGGTTGGCGGCGAATTCGATATGGAATTGAATTTTGTCATTCAAGACGCTCAGAACATCAGGCATATGCTAGAGCTGCTCGATCATTGCCCACCAAATTTACAGGTAAGCCTATCAAATAATTTATTCGCTTCACACAAATCATGGGAGAAAGATTAAAATGAATGCAGAAGTCGAAATCAATATTTAATTCTATTACCCACGGTCCAATTATAAACTACTGTGAGTATTATAGGTATTATACAATTCCATCAAAGAGGAAAATATCGCATGGATTGATTTATTAAGCCCCAATTTGATTTGCTGTATACGCGCATTTTAATAAAGGTCCGGATAAAGCCTATATCGGTTATACCTACCGCAATATCTCGTGCAAACCAATCCAACAAAAGATAGAGGCGCCGAAAGGCTGTATCAGTAAATCAAATTATTGGAATTTCTGTTCGCCAATTTCTATGGAATTCCTGTCGGAGCTATACGCTATCAATGTACTATACCTATATTCTTGACTTTAGCCTTCGGGTAGAATCCTGAAATGCATGGACGAGAGTTAGACAAATAAACCTCATCGATTTATCTGACCACTTGGTTAAATCATTTTAACGTGCCTATGGTTCTGGTATCTGGGCGATCGGGAATTGACATGGCGTATCCCCTTTTCCGGTCCCTCAATATTGGATTCCTGGAGGTCGCGGAAGCTCGACCAATAGTTTCCTTCAAAATTTAATTTGAACGGTATAGGGGCTCCGTCTGAATTGGTTCTGAAATATAATAAAAATAATACCTAGTTTGTTTTTATAGATTTCTTTTATACGGTATAGGAAAAGATTAATTAACTACCACAAGCACTAAGGTTTTAATCCTCGGGGAATGGGGAAACTAAACTTACCGTACAGCTCCTAAAACTTAAAATTTATCGGTATTAATAAACGTTATACATGTACTATAGAAATTGCAGTGACTACGGAGGTACATTTTTATTAAAGCGCAGAGTGAAAAATATATCCCATTGTAAGTTCTGGTTTCGCATTGACATGTGCTAGGTTATTGTTCGCCCGTTTATATCGCAGGCATTCCATCTCTTTTAACGACCAAAACGCTAAAAGCACCGAATTCGTTTTTCTCATTTAATCTGATTTTTTTATTCCGAGTTTACACCCTTCTGCCAAGTTAAATGCGAATTTATTTCGTTTTATATTTCGATGTATACAGTATTACACCGTCGCTATCAAAACAACACCTGTTTAAACAAGTGTTTTGGAATATTATTTCGCCATATTTTATATTTATCGTTGGATAATAAAACATAGCGAACAATAATCGTTTTTTATTGCTAACTATGCCCAAATGGTCACGAAAAAATTTTGAATATTTGCTTTATTTAGCTTCAGTGTCAATATTTCTAATTTCTGAAACTATGTATTAATATATTCAAATATTATTTAAAACGCGAATAACGCGTATAATTTATAATAGTATACAATATTATAATGGGTAGAAATAAAATGAAAAATTATTCGGAGTATAACGATGGGAGTCTAACGATGCGTAAAAAGAAGTTGGTGGAATCATTACTGTGGTTCAAAGGGATGCTAACTAATCCAAACGTAATCGCTTTCGCTGAAACTTCACACAAAAACTTTGAACTGCATTCGGAATTAAATGCATTTCCTGTAATTGTTGTGGCTTTGCAGCACAAAGGCGATATTATGCACAGATATCTTGTTGAATAAATGGGGATAGTCGATTATTGCTTTTTGATCGACTATTTTGCAACTATTAACTGTAGTAATTGTAATTATATTTAATATAACTATACCTACACATTATTTTTTAGTCAAAATTCGCTCACTTCGACGTTTGCCACACAAAGTTATAGTCTGCTTTACGAATTCAGAACTCACTAATAACTTTGTTAAATTCGAGAACTGCAGTATTTAATTATTGAATTTTCTCTGAAGCCACTAATTATAACTTTGTCTTATGCTGTTAGACACTGTACCACAACTTCACAAGAAATGACATATTTGCGAGTAACATAGGTATATAAGTACGTATAGCATTACAGTTTCACAAACTTAAGCAAAGTTTGATTAACAAATAATGGATATGCGCCATTTACTTTCATTTTTATAGTTCTAAATAAAATCTGGTTGTGATTTCATGCCCCCACATATTTATATTTAAATGAGAGCACGTGGTATTTCAACGATACGTACAACTTGCTGTACAAAATCGATTACGTATATTTACGAAGTTCATTTTTAACTTTAGCGAAAACTTCCAGAGGACCTAAATAAAAGGTCGAATCGATGTGAGGTTTTCGGAAATCTCGAGAACGAACGGCTTTTCCCTGGAGCATTTCTCGCTTGCAAAATTTGATAAACTTAGTTATGTTATTTTTTTCCCAAGACACCGAACTATGAGAGAATGCCTGAAAATCTCAGACTGCTTGATGGATACAATGGAGGATACGTATCGCAGGAATCCTATACTTTTAGAAATTTAATATTCGATTTTCTAAGCTGGTGCTATTTTTATATTTTGCGGTGAACTTACTTACCCACCTCCAGCTATTTTATAATGCTTTTTACCTGTAAGATTTTTATTATTAGAAAACTGGAGAACTTTTAAAGAGTCCTTGAGGATTATAAATCGATAGGTTAGTTTTCCATAAATTGAAGGGTAGAAGCAGGCATCACGAATTGATATTACCGACTTAATAGATATTTACTAATAATTTCTGATTTATATCTACACAAACACACCAGGAGATCATCTGCTGGTGAATTAATTAAAGGGATTAATCTGTGCGAAAAGTAAATTTACCTTGGCGTGTCGATATCGGGCTACCCTCGCATTGGGCCTGTTAATTCAATTTGGATTTTTCATTTAAAAAAAGGCCGGAATTTAAATTTAAATCATTACGAACCGAACCCGTCTGTTTACAGTTATTAAAGACTGAATTGTTATTACACAAGTAAATATGAAATTTGCATCATAATTCCTTTCTTTCGCCCGTTTAGCGAAGCGTTAACTCTTTCTGTCGCTGTACGGCGTCGTCGTCACACAAACGTTGATTTCCATTGCTAATGGTCCAAACAGATCCCCGGACCGGGAACGTATACACGTTGAATAATTCCCCATTATACATATACTGCGTAATGCATTTTCCGAGCCTCATCTGTCCCTCCGAACACGGAGACATTAAAACTGCAAATTTACGTCGTAAGCTGGTGGTGATGTCAAACATGCAGAGAGGCGTCCTCATTGCCGGAGCTCGGGTACGGATAAGGACGCGCTAACAAGCTGATTCAATTATTACAACACTCTGTCACTGTATTAAAATTAAAGTAGTTCAATTTGATTATTTCCCAGGGGGCACGATGCTGGGTATATATCATGGAAATTTATCCCACTGCTTTGTCGCTGTTGTTTCGGTTCAACGTAATTGAACATTTCCCCGTTTTACTAGTAACATTTTATCACGTTGTACTATTTTTTTAACACCTAAATGCATAAATCAGAGAATTTGCTTATCTCATACATTCATACTATTAGCGATTCCTACAGCAAAAAATACATAACCCATCATTAATGTGGAGATTTCCGTTTCTGGTGTTAATTGCAGAGGTACAAAATCAATATTGTTTCATAAACCGCGGTATAAACGATGATGATCGACATCATCAATTATTGCTTGTCGAATTCGTATTTCTAGAATGTTCGGGCGTGTCTAGTCACGATGATACATCCGTTTTTCTCATTACAAAACTGCAGCGGGGTCAAAAAAAAGCTGCTTCATCAATTTATATCACGACTGATAATGACTGGAAAAAAGTTTCCGCACTATTTGTAATTAACCATTTGCCGGCATAAAATGTCATTAATCAGGAAAGAGCATCGGAACTGCATATAGCCGTGTAGCTTCTGGCGATAATTTCAATAGCTATTAGGATTAGTGACAGTCAAATTTACTCAATTGACTGATCAACCGTAGTGTTCGTTGTTAGTGCTAGATATTAACTTGTACGTCAAATAATGTTAATTGGATAGGTGTGGTCATTATTAACGTACACATCTAAACAGTAATTGCTATGATGTATAGGGTGCCCTAAAACGAACAAACCTTGCAAACATTTTCATTGTATGTATTCAGAACTAAAACTCTCGAAATCTTTAACACCGTTTAATGCATTAGTTATTACTAAAGCGCGAATATCTGGCGGCGGATTGATATTTCGCGTTTTCCTGCGCCGACCGCTGTGAAGTTCATTTCCATCTAATGTTGCTTTAAACTAGTTTCGGTAAAATTTCGGAACTCCTTAACGATTTTCCGTTCAGCCGCCGCCGCCACATTGCATTTGGAAACTTCACGCTAACTGATGTAGTTACTGAAATATCTTCGTTCTACCTTTGCGCGTTGAACTATTCCGAATAGTTGTGCGAATTGTATCCTTGCTCTAATGATATTATATCACGGTTTCCTGAAATTTTACTCGTTCGGCGATAAATTCCTGCGACTTCTGACCCGTATGACTGTTCTCTAAGTTGTAGCCGGGATGGAAAGTAATTAAGGCACGACCGAGTCTACGGTCTTTCCGACATTTCTGCTCTCTAAATCCTATTAAAAATGTTATCTTACTTCGCAAGGTTTCACCGGTCCTAACGTTATTTAACTTAGTGATTTTTCTGCGTGTAATTATTACTCATACACTTTATTCAACAATTGTGTGCGATATGGTGTGTTGAGGTTTTTTCCTCATTACGATTATGCGTTAGCATAAAAATATAAAAGGAGCTCGAAAACCGAGCTCAATCTCGGGATAAAATGATGGCCATATAAAAGGAAACGTCTAGAAAATACGTTCTCCGGGAAATACGTACGGCATTGATGACTCCGGCAGTTTTCTTTGACAAAAAGTGACACGACATGAGGGAGAAAGAATTTAGGTCTTATATAAATTAAAAAGAGCGCAATCTTATGTTCCCTCGAGATCAAACGGAAAGCTGCACTAGATAGGTAGGCGAATCGAACTAGAACTAACTGAAAATTCATTAAACAAAAATAGGTGCTCTCCTATTGTATTGTGTTCGGATTGTGC